TTGGCTCAAACTGTTCAGATAGCCACTGACAGTTATAATAATTCATCACCTCAACCCAAAGTACTTGAAAATAAAATTAAAAAATTGAATTAAGACAAAATTTGTTTGTTATTAATATCAGTAAAAATTCTAGAAAACAACTCTCTGGCAACGGCGTCAAAACCTTATCAATTAAATTCTACTTTCGCAAGTTTACATATCGAATAAATAATATATTGATAAGTAGAATATAGATCTCACAGAGAATTAATTTAAAATATTGTTAATTACTAAAATTACTAAAATTAAACTAATTAATACTAATAATCAAAGCAAAAAGATAACTGACTAAAAATCAAATTAAAAAAATGTAGAATTATAATATCATTAAAATTAAAATAAACATATTAAGTTCAAGCTCTGATACTAGTTAGGCATATAGGTATATTCCTATCTTACAACAATCAATTTATTCATTCAATCAAATAAATATGACCATATGCTATTTTAATTTAGTCTATACCAAACTCTCTTTCCCATGTTTGTTTAGGTTTTTAAATCAATTTAATTGATGATCAAGTAATTAAAAGCATTAAAAGTAAATTGAAATAAATAATTCAATCCCATTGAAAATAAGCTGAAAAAAGATTAAAAATTTAAACAGCATGTGAGTTTAATTGCAATACTAGATATATAAATTGAACAAAACATAATTGCAAAAGTAAATAAAAACATTGTAACATTGTCTCTTAACTTTCTAATGGTCTAAAAATCGCATCATTTAGATATCTAGAGTAAAAGTTATACTAAAAATATCATGACAGATACGAACAGAGTCTAAACTCTTTAAATACCTTTCTCCACCCAATTAAATCTTATTATTGTAGAATTCTACAATAATATAAAAACTAATAAATAATAATTGAATTAAGATAAATAAATATAAAATTAACATAAAATAATTTAATAAAAATAAATTAATTAAAAAATAACTAAATGTAACTAAATCTTAATATAAATTCGAGAACTTATTTAACTTTTAATAACAATTTAAGATAAAAAAAATTCTATTTCATAGAATTATCAAAATTTATTTAATTTAATAAAATAATAGAGACAGCCGAGCAATTTACCGGTAACCAGTGAGCAGTGCCAGGAAACTTTTCCAATTTCTCAAAACTTAGAAGACATCAGCAGAGGCTGAGCAATATGCTTAGCAAAGAAGTGGAAATATCAATGATTGAATCAGCCTGCAAACCCAGAGCTTTTCTTCAAGACGTTAGCAGTTGCAGCCGAAGCACCATCGTGCCCCAAACCTGCACGCTGAACAGTAAGGGCAAGGTGCATTTGCTATTATAAATGGGCATTCGGTCACCCTCCAAATCTTTCTACATTCAACAAAACAAAATCTACTTATTAAATCTCCAAAAAGAAAAAGAGAAATAAAGACGCAGCGGGTTATCGTTCTCACAAATTTTTCTTTTTTTGGAATTTTTTTTCAATTTTGAAAAATTAAAATAAATTTTGAAAAAAAAACCACCCTTTTTGTAGAAAGAAGACGAAAAAACAAAGTTTAGTGGTTTTTTTTTTTTTTTTGTTTTTTTGGGAAATTTTAGTCATTGAAAACTAGCACAGTAGCGGGCGTAGTCTAGCTTTTGGGGCTGAGCTAGAGAGAGAAGCTACAACGAAAATGATAAAGAAAAAAACAAAAAACAAAACTAAATCGCTGTCCCATCAAAGCGACATAGTTTTGAGCAAAAGGGAGAAGAAAAATCAGAGAGAGAAAAAGTAAATCAATATTGCCAAGTTTTTTGTACCAAAAAAATCTTTTAATCTAACAAATTAACACCATGTCAACATCAGACCCCATTGCATATAGCGTGCAAGTACAAAAGTAAACTAAATTGACCAGTGATTAAATTGCCGACAACGTTATAGTTCTCAAAATTAGACGTATAATTTACTAAAACGACAGTTGGGATCAAAAAATTAACAAAGAATTTATTCGACAAGTTTGCTTTATCCTATATCATTCTCAATCTTATTTACCAAACACAACTTACAAGGCTACGCAAAACCATTGCATCGGAAACCCTAACAACTGATTTCAATCAAGGTGGTAGTGATTTCATGAACATTTTCATTTGTATGTATTCCACTTAGACCATACTTTTCCCTTATAGCCGACCACCTGCAACCCTGGAAGAGGCAAATGCATCTCTACACGCTCAAAAGGGTGCCTTGATTCGTGGCTGTTCCTAATGCCATTCTGAGGTGTCAGGCGTTAGATATCAGCGGCCATAGTCAACTCAACTTTCTCAAGCTTTAGCAGCAACGTCGCCTTAAGAGCTTCTAAAAAAAGAAGAATAAAGAAAAACATTGACCCCAATACAATTCTATTTGACTGGAAAAAGAAACAGGATTCTGTTAAATGGAGAAAAACACCTATTTGATTGGCACTGTGGGAAAAAAATA